CAATCATTTACATCAATAGAAAATTTTAAACTACTTCTTTTATTAGGAAGAGGATCAACCTTTGCCTGGAGATAAGCTGAAATTTTAAAATCTTGGAAGGCATCTGATAAATTCTTATCTGCTTTTACGATTACTTCAGATGAGACTAAAATATGATTAATGTCATCATTGTCATTATTATAATTATTATTATCGTTATTATTGTTATTATAACCATTGTTATTATTGTTATTATAACCATTGTTATTATTGTTATTATAACCATTGTTATTATTGTTATTATTGTTATTATAATCATTATAATTATGATTATAATTATTGTCATTGTTATTGTTATTATTGTTGTGATTACTATTATTGCTGCGATTGATGTTGTTATTGCTGTTGTCATTGCTTTTATCATTACTAGCTGAATATTCATTTTCATTTAATTCTTCATTTATGCCTTTATCGTTTGTGGGAGTTACCACAAAACTCATAGCCTCAAACTCATTATCAAATAATTCTTCAAGCTTTTCTAAAATTAATATATCAAGTGGTTCAGTAGTCCAACAAGAAATATGTGGCACAGAGGAACTTTCATGGAAATCAAGTCCTATAAAATATGCAGGTTGTGATTCAAATACTTTATCAATTTCTTTTTTTTTGTTTCTAAGTAATTCAATTAACTTTTCAACTTTAGCATGCGAAGCAGCTGAGGTTCCAAAATATACATTTGATTCTATGGAAAGGAAATTTGAGATATTTGAATCAAATGATTCAATCCAAATATTCGATTTATTAATGGTAATTTTGGGCTTCGTGAACTGAATAAAGTTGAAATAATTTCTATGAGTAGTAACACTAGTTTCTGTTTGTTTTTCTGCAAACTTACTTAAATCTTGATTTGTTTCATCTATACTATCATTGCTATAACTGTTTTTACCTTCAGCTGATTTCATGAACCACTGGGTTGCTTTCTCTTTATCCTTTGCTGTTCCAATTCCAAGTTGATAACAATAAGCAAGATTATTCTGTCCATCACTATTTCCACCTTCAGCTGATTTCATGTACCAATGAAATGCTTTTTGCTTATCTTTTGTTATTCCAATCCCATGTTGATAAAAATAACCAAGATTATTTTGTCCACTACTATTTCCCCCGTCAGCCGATTTCAAGTACCATTGAAATGCCTTCTTCTCATCTTTTGTCGTTCCTATCCCATGTCGATAACAATCGCCAAGGTTATTCTGCCCATCACTATTTCCACTTTCAGCTGATTTAAAGTACCAATGAAATGCTTCCTCTTCATCTTTTGTTGTTCCAATCCCATGTTGATAACAATAAGCAAGATTATTCTGTCCGTCACTATTTTCACGTTCAGCTGATTTCAAGTACCAATGAAATGCTTTCTCTTCATCCTTCGTGGTTCCAATTCCACAGTAATAACAATAACCAAGATTATTCTGTCCACTACTATTTCCACTTTCAGCTGATTTCATGTACCAATGAAATGCTTTCTCTTCATCTTTTGTTGTTCCGATCTTATGTCGATAACAATCGCCAAGATTATTTTGTCCGCTGCTATTTCCACCTTCAGCCGATTTCAAGTACCACTGAAATGCTTTCCTTTCATCTTTTGTTGTTCCAATCCCATATTCGTAACAATAACCTATATTATTCTTTCCATCACTATTTCCACTTTCAGCTGATTTCAAGTACCACTGAAATGCTTTTTCTTCATCTTTTGTTGTTCCAATCCCATGTCGATAACAACGTCCAAGACTATATTGTCCAGTAATATTTCCACCTTTAGCTGATTTCAAGTACCAATGAAATGCTCTCTGTTTATCTTTTGTTGTTCCGATCCCACGTTGATAACAATGACCAATATTGCTCTGTCCTGTAGTATTTCCACCTTCAGCTGATTTAAAATACCACTGAAATGCTTTCTTTTCATCTTTTGCTGTTCCAATTCCATGTCGATAGCAATCGCCAAGATTATTCTGTCCCGCAGTATTTCCACCTTCAGCAGATTTAAAGTACCAATGAAATGCTTTCTCTTCATCTTTTGTTGTTCCGACCCCATGTTGATAACAATCGCCAAGATTATTCTGCCCATCGTTATTTCCCCCTTCAGCTGATTTCATGTACCAATGAAATGCTTTCTCTTCATCTTTTGTTGTTCCGATTCCATGTTGACAACAATAAGCAAGATTATTCTGTCCGTCACTATTACCACCTTCGGCTGATTTCAAGTACCAATTAAATGCTACCTCTTCATCATTTGTTGTTCCAATCCCATATCGATAACAATTCCCAAGATTATTCTGTCCCGTAGTATTTCCACCTTCAGCTGATTTAAAGTACCAATGAAATGCTTTCTCTTCATCTTTTGTTGTTCCAACCCCATGTTGATAACAATCGCCAAGATTATTCTGCCCATCGTTATTTCCCCCTTCAGCTGATTTCAAGTACCACTGAAATGCTTTCTCTTCATCTTTTGTTGTTCCAATCCCATTTTCAAAATAACAACCAAGACTGTTCTGTCCTTTAATATTTCCCCCTTCTGATGATTTCAAGTACCACTGAAATGCTTTCTGTTTATCTTTTTTTGTTCCAATCCCAATTCGAAAACAATTCCCAAGATTATATTGTGCAGTGATATTTCCCACTTTAGCTGATTTCAAGTAGCACTGAAATGCTTTCTGTTCATCTTTCGTTGTCCCAATCCCACGTCGATAACAATCGCCAAGATTATTCTGTCCGTCACTATTTTCCCCTTCAGCTGATTTAAAGTACCAATGAAATGCTTTCTTTTCATCTTTTGTTGTTCCAATCCCATGTCGACAACAATTGCCAAGATTATTTTGTCCGACACTATTTCCATTTTCTGCCGATTCCAAGTACCACAGAAATGCTTTCACTTCATCTTTTGTTGTTCCAATCCCATATCGATGACAATCGCCAAGATTATTCTGTCCCGTAGTATTTCCGCCTTCGGCTGATTTCAAGTACCACCGAAATGCTTTCTCTTCATCTTTTGTTGTTCCAATCCCATATCGATAACAATGTCCAAGATTATTCTGTCCCGTAGTATTTCCACCTTCAGCAGATTTAAAGTACCAATGAAATGCTTTCTCTTCATCTTTTGTTGTTCCAACCCCATGTTGATAACAATCGCCAAGATT